GGATAGGGGGGGTAGGAACCGTCGTTTTTACAAATGGAGCACCGTAGATACCCCAAACGAACTGGTGTAGGCAAATGACACCAGTAGCACTAGTGTCATTTTAGACTTACCGAATATAAGCCCATATTATATATATTCGGTCCACCGGTCTCACCGGGTTTGGACCGGACCGGACCGAAACCCAGATAAAGGAAATTGATGGACCGGAGACTGGGCCGAATTAGGACCGGTCCAGACCGGTCCGGTCCGGTTTTGGCCGGTCTTCGGGTCGGTTTGGGTTTGGACCGAATAATGCACATCCCTAATAGGGACGGCGGCATCTCTGCTCGGTGATGGACAGTAGCGTCTGTGCTCGGGAAGCACGGACGAAACGTCGGCGAAGAGAGAGAGAGAGAGACAGCGGCGTCGGCTTCCTGGTCGGCGTCTCTGGTCGATGGCACAACGAGGGAAATGGGCAGGCAAAGCTGAGAGAGAGTCGTGTGTTACAAGATGGAGTCCCGTAACCCCCCCGGCTTTTCATATATATTTAAGTATATTTAGGGTCCACTTTACACTACCTAACTAATTTGGATAAGTTTGACCCTAATTACCTGATTCGTCAATTGTATGTTGGACCCAATAAGCCCGATTCACGATTCGTTTGCGCTATCGGGTTCAGAACAGGGAACTTTACAACATATGATAAACCCCCATTAATTAAGGCAAATTAGAAAATAACCCTCGTGTTGACCGACCCAATAATTAATTAATTTTATAAATTAATTAAAATATTAAGCCGGGTTTCGGAGCATTACATTTCTCTCCCCCTTAAAAAAATTTCGTCATCGAAATTATCTGAGTCATTGTTGGCTTGTCGCTGAAAAGATGAGGATATTGAACTCTCATAGACTCCTTGGTCTCCCACGTAGCTTCCTCCATGGCATGGTTACGCCACAGGACTTTGAGTAGAGGCATCCTCTTATTCCTCAACTCCTTCACTTACCGTGCTAGAATCTGCACAAGCTCCTCCACATATATCAAGTTCTCATCCAGAGTCATCGCGCCTTCGGGTAACCGATGGGTCAGATCTTATCGGTAACGTTGGAGCATAGAGACATGAAAAACATTGTGAATCTTGCTCAGTTCAAGTGGTAGCTCTAACTCATAAGCTACCGGGCCAACTTTCGCAGTGATGGGATAAGGCCCAATGAAGCGGGGACTCAATTTTCCCCTCTTTCCAAAGCGTAGAACCTTTTTCCAAGGTGACACCTTAAGAAAAACCGTATGATGCTGCCTGCAAACGCTCACGGATACCCTATACCTTTTCTTCTGTATCACGAACAAGTTCAGGACCTTCTAATCTCGCCTCGCTCAATTCAGTCCAGCACACTGGTGTGTTCTACCCCTCCTCTCGTACAATGCATCATATGGGGCCATCTGAATACTCGCCTGAGAACTATTATTGTAAGCAAACTCCATCAATTCCAAGTATCGCTCCCAATTTTCCCCAAAGTCGATCACGCATGCTCTCATCATGTTCTCAAGTATCTGTATCACACGCTCAGATTGACCATCAGTCTAAGGGTGGAAGGTTGTGCTCAAGTTTAACTTTGTACCCAAGGCCTGCTAGAGTCCCTTCCAGAACATTGAAGTGAAACAGGGATCTCTGTCGGAGATAATGGATACAGGTACCCCATGCAACCGAACGATCTCGCGGAGGTACAACTCTGCTACCTTCTGTAGTGACATATCCCGTCGAACAGGTATGAAATGCGCAGATTTTGTAAGACGATCTACGATGACCCATACGGCATCATTCTTACGAGGAGATAAGGGTAGCCCAATCACGAAATCCATCGTGATTCGCTCCTATTTCCACTCAGGAATAGAAGGCGGATGCAACAATCCTGATGGTACTTGATGCTCGGCTTTGACCTGTAGAGAAGTCAAGCACCGTGCCGTAAACTCGCAGATTTCCTTCTTCATCAAAGGCCACCAATAGCTCACTTTTAAGTCATGGTACATCTTGTTACTTCCCGGATGTATAGTGTATGCTAACTCATGAGCCTCACGTATTAGAAGCTCCCTCACGGCCCCGCATGGTACCACACGACGGTTCCCGAAAAACAAGATTCCATCTCCACTAACAGTAAACTCTGGTCTCTTCCCCCTTAGAGACAAGGTCCCGTGTCACGCGACAAAACTCATCATCCACTTGAGCATTCTGGATTTCAATATCTAACGTCGGTTGTACATGGAGTTCAGCTACCAACTTGCGGCTCAAGGCGTCAGCCGCCACATTAGCCTTGCCCGGATGATACTCGATGGTGAAATCGTAGTCCTTGAGGAGTTCTAACCAACGCCTTTGTCTTAGATTCAGATCCTTCTAGGTCAACAAGTACATCAAACTCTTGTGATCATTATATATAAGAATCTTTTCACCGTACACATAGTGTCGCCAGATCTTCAAGGAAAAAACAACTGCCGTTAACTCCAGGTCATGTGTCAGATAATTACCCTCATGGGGTTTCAGCTGCCTCGAGGCGTAGGCAACCACCCTACCTTCCTGCATGAGTACACAACCCAATCCACAAAGAGATGCATCACCGTAAATTGTATACTCACAACCCGGTTTTTGCTGGACCAGCACTAAGGCTTTAGTCAAACACTCCTTCAGACGATCAAAGCTACTCTTGCATGCGTTCATCCATGCAAACCTCACATCCTTCCGTAGGAGTTTAGACAGTGGGGAAGCAATCGCAGAGAAATCTTTCACGAACCGGCAATAATACCCTGCTAGTCCGAGAAAACTACTCACCTCCCTAGCATTACGGGGAACCTTCCAGTCAACTACAGCAGAAATCTTACTCGGGTCAACCTTCACCCCTTCAGTGGAGTTCACGTGACCTAAGAAAGTCACCTCTTCGAGCCAAAGCTGTATTGCCCCAAAACATACCCTAGAATTATTAATGAATAAATAATCAATTAATCACAATTGTTTTGATTAAAATAAATTATTGTTGGGCTTTGGGCCGATATGAAATTTGTTTTGACATCTAATATCAAAATCTGGATAAGTCTCATAGAGATAAATCCAATATGTTGACTATTTGTGTGGTCTTGATTGTGAACCTGAGTACAGACCCAAATCAAGAGTAAATAAAGAATTTGTTTAGAATGTAAATATTGAAATGATTTGTTAAAATAAATCATGAGAATAATTGATATGAATTAAATAAGAGAACCTTTTATAAGAAAAGTCAATTAAACCAATTTTTACTCTATCAAAGTCAACCACCCAAAAATATGATGTCGGAAAAAGTATTACAAATAATTATGAAAAGTATGTCGTTGAATAGAATTCAACTGTCTGATCGCAACGGTGCGAACGGATTTCAATTTGGAGAGAGTTGGACCAAAAAGTATACCCCAACTGGAACCAAAATTGGTTCCAATCAGGGAGACTGTGCAGACGGTGCCCCCTCCTCCACTCAGCCGATCGTGAGTCATTTCCTACGCAGAACTTCTTCCTTCTCCATTTTCCTATATAAGGAGGAAAAACCAAC